GCTAACTTGTTTTATTAGAAAAAACCAACACAAAAAATAGAACAAATATTCCTTAGAATAGTTTCTTATTTTTCCCCGTTTACAGTTTTTATCTTATGCTAGTAATTCACAGCTTCTTGCTATTTTCAAGAGCGATAGAAAAGAGGCTTCAGTCTTATCTAAGTATTCAAGGAACTGACTCTTTTTGCTACACACAAACATTACTTGAACTGCGAAAGGGTGCATGTTTCTTTCACAAGGATTTCCAGATATGATGATGAAATATGAGATTTGAGACGAAATGAAAAAGCAGCCAAAAAAACTTGTTGCTTTGCTTTGTCTGTCTCATCTCTCCAGCACCAAAGATTCAATGGCAACAATGAAAAGTAATTGTGTACTTCTCAGTAATCTTTTCCAAGATAGTTGACATTAAAATTGTAGCTGACAGCTCCATCTCCGCTCATGCTACAAGCACACATATACATTAAACGACTTACAGTATATGTTTCCTACAATCCACTCTTATATGAGTCACTCAAAGTGGCAAATTAATCTGACCGTAAAGTTCATTTAAACTGATTACACCTCATCATTCTGCAGCTGAGAGGTGTTGACATCTATTAACCACACAAGCACTGAAGCTAATCGACTCCCGAGTTATGTTTATTAGTGTGCACTCATATAGAGGTCCACACTCCTCAAACGCACAGTTCCTTCTTTCAGATCTGCTGACAGTCATTTTTCAGATGCACATACACATACACGTAGCATACGTACACAGCGCATATGGTTTTCCAGTGAACTGCAGAAGGTTGTGGCTTTTCCTAATGAGGAGCAGAAGCCAGCCGACAACTAACAGGTTTGTTTGAACAGCCCTAATGACCTGTTTGTTCTTGGCCACAGTGCACGGGCTCGCACATACTTATAAGAGACACTGGGTATAATATCCTGTAAATGAATGTTTGTTTTTTTTTAAAACCTGTCTGTGAAAGTGGCCAGAGACACGTTGCTCACTCATTGGCAGCTTTCGAGCAGAGTAACTGTTGATGGATATGCGGATAACAAGTAGACTAACTGACAGATGGATTGGCTGATTATTAAAATGAAGTTGATGAGCACATGTTTCCCCCCCTCTTCTCATTCTTTCATATTACAGTAAATGACCTTCTTGTTTGGAACTGCATTTGGCACAGGCTCGCAGAGAGAGGGATTAACATTTATCCTGTGAGTTGCTTTTCAGCAAACAAAACCGGGGATTTCACACTGCCAAAGCAACCATATCAAAAAGAATTTAAATGAACTGCCTGGGTATTGATAGCGAGTCAAAGATCAATTCGCTGGGAAGTGATCCTTTATAAGATGCGCAATGTTTGAGCTGAGCCAGATGGCTGCAGGCAGAGCCAGTGTTAGTGATGAGGGGGAGCTGCTTTCAGGACGCCCACAGGCTGGTGGTACATTCCAAACTAAATCATGCTGACATTCCAGGAGGAAACTGCTGCCTCTGGATTAGGTAAGTGTATTCGGGGCGAAGCTTGGCTGTCAACCTTTCTAAGACTAC